CGGGCATTTTCGGACTTCCGCTGGATAGGTCTCCAGGAGGGAGTTCCAGTTGACTGTGTGTCATGGTGTGTGATCCGGGTAGGAGCACACTAGGAATGTCTTTGGCGTTTTGGTTGGTTTGGGCATCATGGTTGTGGTTTCTGTGAACACACCTTGGATGATACCCATAGGCTTATATATGCCGAGGGCGTACGTGGAATTGGGGTTACCATCCCGTATCGTCGTATTTTGTTTTCTTTATATTCCCCATTCTCTAAATCCCTTGCTTTATCCCGTTTTCAAAGTGGTGGTTGTATTCTATTGATATGCATCGAAGTGAACCATTGGGTGGAGTTTTCTCCAGAACCTCTTGGTTACTGAGATATATTCGTATATCTCACCCCGTCTCGGGGCATTTATTTCAGGAGGTAGCAGTGGAGCAGGAGCCTCAGGCAAGAGGCCCGCAGAGTGAGCGCTGGAGCGCTTCATATTTTGCATTTTGTTGGCCGTGTGGCCTAGGCTAGACTTAGGGCATGAACATGTCATTTGTATTTATTAGTAGCTTCATTAGCATCTTGTTCATGCCATTTTGCCTAAGCCTAGTAGTGATGTATTTGGTTATGTTGTCTTTTAAATTTAAGATGTAATTTTAGAAGAATGTAATTTGAAGTTTTAGTTTCAAGTTGTGATTTGTAAAGCCATATTGTAATAGTATTGATGCATGTCTATTTATGATGGAAGGGCCTTAGGCCTATTTTAGGTTATGATAATATGTATGATGGAAATATGCATGAAAAAGGTGTTAGTGATTGCAACTACTTAAGAATGATTAATATGGACTCTATGTTTAATAACTATAAACTGGATTGGGTTGTAAGTGCCAAAGGTGTTGTTGGTCCTTGTGTGTGCCACCCATTAGATTATTACTGTATTATCATGTGTTTATTAGGTACATTTGAGGTTTAAATGATCTTTTACAAATTTGGGATTATTGGAAAAACAAAGGAAACTCTGGCGAATTTTCTGTAGAATTGGCAGATTTTAGGCAAACTTCGGGAGAGCATATCTCTCTCCATAGAGGTCCCCTAGGGACGTGCCATACGCCATTTTGAAGGTTGAGATGTCCTATACCTTGTGTCAAAATTTGAGGAAATTCTGGGTTGATCTTCGGCCTGAAAAAAATAGAGAAACACGGACTGCCCATGTGCCCCTGCACCTGAGGCAGATTCTGGACCGGATTTGGGAAATTAATTCCCGCTTCGTTTCTCAGTCAAATTGAGCGTGTGATATATCAAAATGAAGTTTGAGATGCCTAGTTTGTAGGATAAAAATTTGAGGGCAAATGGTTGAGTGGATTGAGTGCAGTAATTCGAGCAATGTGAGTGGTTTGGAGCTGTTTTTGGGGTTGTTTGGGCTAATCGCTTATCCAACTTCAAACGGCGATAACCGGAGCAAATGAGCTCCGAATTGAGCGTATTTTAGCTTGTTAAAAAGGGAATTAAGTAACACAAAGATATAATCTGAGAAGTAGGGTTGGTTGCGATCGGTTTGGTCGCAGAAAAATTTAGAGTGAAACATGTTCGAATTGGTAAAAACGTAAAGTTGGAAATTGGCTAAGTGAGTTTATGGGAACTCCTTAGTCACTCATAATGAATGATGTAAGTTATAAAAATAGTTAAAGTAAGTCTTCCGCAAGAGTTTACGGTTACGGTCACAGCTTTTAATTATTACGCCTTTTTATGTTTTAAATCCTCGCGTAATAGTCGGAAAAATTTATTCTCGTTTTTATAAATGAACTGCTGTGATTGTAACTGCGCTTAATATCATAATTAATGTTAACAATACCGGTACGTAACGGGCTGTTACACAAGTAGATAGAGGGGAATTAATATATTGGATTGTATCGATTTTCATCAACTAATTCGTAAACCGATCCAATCCAATTAAAACTAGCGATTTTTTTTTTCAGTTTTAGATTTTTCGATTTTCGGTTTATCGGTTCGGTCACTGCGGTTTGAATCAGTTTGGATCGGTTGATGAACACCCCTAACTACGGGGGTGTATTGGATTGGGATTTCAAAGGATTTTAATGGATTATTTTTGGACAAAAAAAATCCATTGGTATTCAATTAGGATTTTAAAAGATTGAAAAAAAGTCACGTGGTATTCAATTAGGATTTTAAAAGATTATTTTAGAGTCCATCTAAATCCGTTGGTATTCAATTGGGATTTTGAACAAAGAAAAAATGGTATTCAAAAATCTGACGATTTTAATGGATTTTCTATTGGTATGGATTTCGTAAAACTTTTTAGTGAGAAATATAAATAGGATGTCTCTCTCACAATCTCACCCTCACCCCTAGGATTTCTTGAGATTTCTCTATTGTAGTGTTAATTTTTGTTTTCCATCAATGAAACAAGATCAATTTAAAGAAAGATTGAAACTTTCATAATATAAACCCTATATTTTATAATAAATATTCATGAACGAAATTCCTTCGCTATAGGATACGATTTCAAACAATTTTTGCATCAATAGATAACTAAAACTTATTTTTCAATAGCCCCAAAGCAATTTAAGGTTTAATGTATCGATTGAAAATAATTTGAGAAATTTTTTAAACTTTCATGTAATTTTAAATGAATTTTTTTATTAACTTTAGGTTCTATATGCAAATTTAGAATTATTTTAATAAATAAATAAAAATTGGGTCATATAATTATATATGCATAGCTCTGATACCAATGAATAAGATAATTTTCAACTTTTTGGTCAAATCTAAGAGTAGGAACGAGAAAATATTAATGTATAAAGGATTAGTATATCTTTTTTTTTGGTAATCAGATTAGTATATCTTTGGATATGTGGAGAGCTGTTGCTTAATAATTTTGAATGTTTGTTAAAAATTATATTATATTTTACTGATTGAGAAAATTATATTAGGTTTTAGTTTTTTATATTAATATCATTGCATTTCTTTGTTATTTTTTGTATTGACTCTTGTAATTTTGAATCTTTGTTAAAATTCATATGGTTTTTTAAAATCTTACAAATTCATATTGTCCTTTCAAATCTTATAAATTCTATTAAAATCCTTTAAAATCCAATCTTATAAAATCTTGATTGTAAAAAATGTCTTTTAAAAAAGTCTTTAAAGTCCGTCCAATTCTAAATAGATTTTTAAAATCTATAAGATTTTTTATCTTAAAAAAATCTTTGAAAATCCTAATCCAAAACACCCCTACAATTTTACACTTTTAACATTTTAAAAAATGTAAAGTGATGTTTATAACTATCGAAGTGATGTAGAGATTTTAAAAGCTTAGATATAATTTTATAATTAATAAATATCTAAGTGAAAGCTTAATTAAATTGTAAAAATTTTAGAAACAAAAAAATTATAATGAAAATTTGAGAAACATAAATCTGGGAACTCTGATTCTTGGTTGCTTAGGGTGTGCATGACAACCATTCTGTTCCCTAGCACTGTTTCTCTGAAAAGAAACAATTTTTATATTTCTGTGCCTTGAACAGTTTCTGAGAAAAAAAAGTGTTTGATAACATGTTCTATTTTTATTCCGAGAATGAGAATTGTGTTTGATAACACAACAAATAATATAATAAAAAATAATTTCTATTAAATATAAAAAAATTTCGAATCATCACTTTCATTTCCATATGGTGTGGTTGTGATGGTGGTGGCGGCGGGTGGCATGGTGGTGGTGGCAGCGGCGGTACGGTAGTGGTTGTGGCAGTGGCGTGGTGAAAATAGTGGGAGTGGTTGTGACGGCAGTGGCTGCGACGATGACGGTGGTAGTGGTGGAGATGACGGCAGTGGCTGCGACAATGGTGGTGGGTATGGTGGTTGGTGGCGGCAACAATTGTAGCAGTGGCATAGTGGTGGTGATGGTGACAGTGGTTGCGGCGATGGCGATGTCGTGGTGGCGATGATGTGATGATGGTAGTGGCGGGGGTGGTATAATGGTGGCGATGGTGGTGGTGGTGGTGACAGTAATGGCTGTGACGATGGTGGTGGTGGTTAATGGCGGCGACGGTGGCTACAACAACGATTGTGGTGGTTGGTGACAGTGGTGGTGATGGTAGTGGGCGCCGTGGTGGTGGTAGTGGTGGCGATGAGGGTGGTGGTAGTGGCGTGTGATGGCGATGGTGGCAGTGACGACAGTGGTTGCGATGATGGTGGTGGTGGTTGATGGCGGTAGTTGTGATAGTGGTGGTGACAGTGATGATGATAGTGGCGACAGTGGTGGCAGCGGTGGTAATTGTGGTGGTAGCAGTGACGTGGTGAAGATAGTGGTGATTGTTGTGACAGCAGTGGCTGCGACAATAGTGGTGGGTATGGTGGTTGGTGGAGGCAACAATAGTAGCAGTGGCATGGTGGTGGTGGTGGTGGTGGTGACAGTGGGTGCGGCGGTGGCGGTGGGGGTAGGAGACAGTGGTGGTGGTGGTGGTGGTGGTGGCGATGGCGTGGTGATGGTAGTGGAGAGGGTAGTGTAATGGTGGCGATGGTGGCGGTGGTGACAGTAATGGCTGTGACGATGGTGGTGGTGGTTGATGGCGGCGTCAGTGACGGTAGTGGTGGTTGGTGACAGTGGTAGTGATGGTAGTGGTGGCGTCGTGGTGGTGGTAGTGTGGCGATGGGGGTAGTGGCAGTGGCGTGTGATGGCGATGGTGGCGGTGACGGCAATGGTTGCGATGATGGTGGTGGTGGTTGATGGCAGTAGTGGTGATGGTGGTGGTGACGATGACGGTGATAGTGGTGGTGGCGGCGACGACGGTAGTTGTGGTGGTGGTGATGGTGATAGTGATCGGTGGAGGTGGTGGCAATGGTGGCGGTGGCATCGTGGGAACAAAAAAACAGAAATTTTTTGATTCTTTTTTCTGTTCCCCAGCACAAAAATTAAACTGGTTCATCCCGGTAACAAAAAAATAAATCGGTTTTACCAAACGAGTTCCTGGAAACAGAAATTAAAAAAGAATTGATTAGAGTAAATGCTTGTACTTGTCATCTCCCACCTCTTGAGTATCAAAGTATGTTCCCTGAAAGATGGATCCAACACCTTCACTTCCACACCCCGAAGAAGCCTTCCTTCCCTCTCATGCAAGGTTGCCTTCTCAGCCTCAGTCAAGAAATCACAACATATTTCTGACTGAGGCATCGATAGACGGTTGTGCTTGGCGCTCACATCTGTCTTGGAGAGATTCTTGCTCATCACAAATTGCATCTCGCTGCCGCCGCCGTTCAGCTCTCTCATATGGTTCTTGAATTCCTCAGGTAGAACCGGTGGGGTTGGTGAGGACTGTGGCGGTGATGGTGTTGGCGGTGATGAAGACGACGATGCATTGTTCTTTGTTGTCTTTCTTGATTTTTTATTATTCAGCGACGAGGGAGTGGGGCGCCATTCCTCATCGTCATCAAGCATTTCACGCCTTCTTTTCTTTTCTTTCTCTTTCTCTTTTTCTTTCTCTTTCTCTTTTTCTGGCGGCTTTGTCTTTGACGCCTCTCCTTGTTGCTGTTGTTGCTGTTGCAACTCTTCATCCTCTTCTTGGAAACAATTCTTAATCAGAGCCAATTCTTCATCGTTATAAAACTGTGGTGCAACGCGCGAAAGAAGTATATCACAAAAGTGAGGCCTAAAGGGTTTGGAAGACATCTTTTGACGCGTCTCCCAATCTGTAATCTTCCCCACCAATTCCCACATAGTTTTGTTGTCCCTCTCAGTCATGGTGGCAAAGCACAAGTTGAAGGTTTCTGTTTCGGCGGTGGGTTTGGAAGAGAGCAAGCAAAAGATGGTTGGTTTAAGGTTTATGTAACACGGTCAAGTGAGTGAGTGAGTGATGGGCTTCTGATCAATTTATAGTGATCATCAGAATTAAAATCTTCCGAGATTGGAGGTAATCTTTTCTTTTTTTTTTGTTAAATAAGGAGGTAATCTTTTAATATATGTGTAAATCGGTTTATTTCTTTTAATTATTTTTTTTGTATCTTTAAAGATTTAATATCGGTGAAGATAATTAACTTTCAGCTATTTAAAGATTTAATATCGATAAAGATAATTATCTTTCAAATAAATAGCTGTCCAAATAAGTGATTAACATTTTCATATCTTTTCTGATTTGATATCAGTAAAGACAATTTCCTTAATAATTTTCAAAAAACATTGTTTT